TTAGTACTTTACGGTATCGTATGGGACAATTGCCTCGGATTGTACCAGCATGTATACCAATTTATAACGGTTGTGTATGCCACAATGGACCAGATAGAGTACCGTCGCATGTCACCATGCGCGCCAATACGTATCTTTCTCAATACTAATCATTTGCGACATTTTTATTTGCGACAATGCTCAGGATTATCGCATGCCTGGACGGTGTGTGCTGCAGTGGCCGCTCTTTCCCGGTACCAAGCCATTCGATATGATTTCGTATGCCGGGACAAGTATGTGCACTAGCGAGAGCTCAGATGTAGCATGTTGTGAATAGCAATATTAGGGTGTCTGCATGTTTTTATGTTGTTATTGTTTGTACTACACACATGGGGTTTTGGTCATGTTGTGAATAGCAGTATTATTATGTATTTATAGACACAGATCCTCTGCTGTTGGTATCTGCATGTATGTATGATGCTAATGTTTGTACTACACACATGGCGTATTAATGTTCATGCGGATGCGGTATCGAACTTTTCGACCTAATCCGTATGCCGAGGCAAGTATATACACAGTCAAGTGTGTGTATGTGTATATGCTGTGTGTTGGGTTTGGTTATGTATATACACGCATCCTGTGGTCTATATGTGCCTTATACTGTGGCATATTCCTGGGAAGTGTACTGATCGCGATTCAATTGTGAACACTAAACGAAATAGTAGCGCAGTCGCCTGCCTACTACAATACGTTGTATCCCCATCCTAGCACCCACACGCATGCGTACTCACTCACGCTGTACACAAACACTGTATTTAGAGTTTGGGGTTTAGGTTTTAAGGTTAGGATCAGGGGTTAGGGGTTAGGGTTTATGTTTTAGGGGAAGGTTTTAGGGGTTAGAGTTTAAATACATAAACCAGCCAGTGGTTCCGATTCTTGGTAGGCTTGCACCTACGGTGTACGTATAACATTCTTGTAGGTACGTTATTGCATGGCGGTCTGGGTCTTTGGATGGCAATGCAGTTGTATTCTTATGGAATCATTCATGCCACACACACACATGCCACAGGCATATACAGACCTACACCACAGTTGTACGGACACTCACAACCACATGCATTTGCTTACCTAAACCACAGGTATATGCATACCTACACCACAGTTGCACGGACACTCACAACCATCCGCTTACTCACCCACGCTGTACGTTAGACACGCGTGTAGGTACGATACTTGGCATACCTACACTTACGCGTAACATTAACACGGTGCTGTACATAAAACACACTTGTAGGTACATTACTAGGCACACTTGCACCTAAGCTTAACATTAACACACTGCTTCGTAGATACAATACTTGACATACTTACACCTACGCTTAACATTAACACACTGCTTCGTAGGTACAATACTTGACATACTTACACCTACGCTTAAAATTACGCTTAACATTAACACACTGCTTCGTAGGTACAATACTTGGCATACTTACATCCACGCTTAACATTAACACACTGCTTCGTAGGTACAATACTTGGCATACTTACATCCACGCTTAACATTAACACACTGCTTCGTAGGTACAATTTTCGGCATACTTACACCTATGCTTGACATTAACACTCTGCTTTGTAGGTACGGTCATTACAGGCCAAGTGAGGTCTCTCGATGCGAATGTTGTTGCATTCCGATTGAATAATGGGACTACCAACGCGGACGACCTAACTGACTACCGCAGCAACGCCAAGAAGCTGGATCTGCTCCCGAACTTCTACACCACGACGTACGTGTAAAGCAATTGTGATATATTTAACACGGGCGTGACCACGTGCGTGTAAAGTAACTGTAATATATTTAGCATGGGTGTGACCACGTATATGTAAAGCAATTGTGATATACTTATCATGGGTGTGACCACGTACGTGTGAAGCAATTGTAATATATTTAGCATGAGTGTGACCACGTATATGTAAAGCAATTGTGATGTATTTAACATGAGTGTGACCACGAACGTGTAAAGCAATTGTGATATATATAACATGTGTGTGACCACGTGTAAAGCAATTGTAATATATTTAACATGGGTGTGACCACGTACGTGTAAAGCAATTGTGATATATCTAGCATTGTTGTGACCACGTAAAACCAATATTTTGTATTTGTGTACACATAGTGGTAAGTATTTATGAATGTAGTGTGTTTGTTCTGTTTAGCGCATTTGTGTACACATAGTGGTATATATGTATGAAAGTAGTGTGTGTCTAGAACTGACAAGTGTTATACTGTAATTGGAGTGCATTTGTGTACACATAGTGGTATTTATGTATGAATGTAGTGTTTGTTCTGTTTAGTGCAATTGTGTACACATGGTGGAAAACATGTATGAATATAGTGTGTGTCTAGAACTGACAAGTGTTGTACGGTAATTCGAGTGCATTTGTGTACACATAGTAGTATGTATGTATGAATGTAGTGTATATGTATATAACAGATAAATGGAGTACGTTGTGTGGAGTGCATTTGTGTACACAAACACATACTCCCTCCTGTGTATACCTACGAAAACAGGCAAAGCTTTCGTTTGTGTCTTCCTTTGAATAAAGCACGCGCCCGCGTATCTTTACCTCTCTATATAGGTAGACATGTGCGGAAATATACCCATTTTTGAAACTATGCATATTTGGATGCTGTGTTACTTTCCCAAAGAAGACAGCGCATCTGCGCACTATCGCAATCGCACACTTGACTATAGATCTGTTCTTCTCGTGCTCTACACGCGCATGTTGTACCTCCACAAGGTATCGAATACACATCAGTGTATGTAAGTATGGTTTCAATACTACATCAGCATCTACCATGTATATCGTACCTGTGTCCATCTCTGATAGATTAATTACTAATTTTGTCCAGTGAGGCTAGTACCAGGCTACCGCGTGGCTCCAAGCACCATCCGGAGCTTCTGATGGGTCCGAAGGAATTTGAAACCGGTCAATTGGCGGGCATGTGTGCGTTCGTCCCCGTCTCTACAAAAGACGGTACGTGACACAATATGAACAGATCTTTAAGTATGTAAGGTATATCTGTATAATTATTCATACACACACATAAAA